TTTTTGTAGAAATTGCACACTTGGCAGCCTAAGATTATTTTTCACAATATACGTGCCTTACCGTGAAATAACACAAAGAATGCCTTGGGCCTTCCACCTATGAGCTGTCATATCTATGGACACAGAAAACTGGAAAATACAGGATTGACTTGTTGATTTGCATTTGTATTTAACATAATACTGGGCAAGGAGCAGTGCTCAATAAATACTTATTTGTATAGCCTTTTACCCCGTTAGCTAATTACATATCAGCCTCTGTGAAACAGAAAGGAAAAGAATGAATCTTATGCACACCAGAGTGGAGCCTAAAATACCTGAAATGCTAACAAGAAAGCCGCTGTATTAGGCAGCCAGTATTAACAGGTGTATCAAATTGCCCAGTCACAGTAACTGTCCCAGTTAACCAACTTCAGTAGCTCAAGCCCCCAGGGTGAGCTTGCAGCCGAGAATGGCTCACCATTACAAACCTACGGACATTGGGAATGATCTGTGGAGAAACAGGCTGTGCAGTCAGCCTGGGTGAAGACGTGAGAAGAGGACAAGAAGACCACTAATAAAGGTTTCCTGTAGGAGTTCGTGTGTAAGAAAGAATGGATAGTAGACCTAAGAAATGGTGGAATCCGTTTTGTTTTCCAAGGAATCCTACAAGTTCCCTGTGGTGGATTGCCAATCAGACCACACCATGTCTACTCCACCTTCCCGTGGAATTTCTGCCCAGCAAGAGACATGGTCGCAATGAGCCCTGCTTTGGGGCACCTCATAAAGCTCATTGGTACTTTCTCAGAACTATATAGAAGGTGGGGACCATGGCACTTAGAGAAGAACCACTCCCCAGAAAATGCTGGCGGCTAGCTAGGGTTCAAGTGATTAGCTCAAATCCACACATCTGAGCAGCAGAAAGAGGTTTCTAGACCTTACTTACCTTGAGTGCTCGGATATACTACCCTGCTTTACCCCCACATTATCTGAATTACAATGACCCTGCTATGAAATCGTGAGGTTCCTGAAAGGCTATTCTGAAATCTATAACAGTTCACTGTTTATTCAAGAATATTATATTCTCATCATCAAAACTCTATCTGGCAAAGTGATAGCCCTAAAGTATAAATGGCTTTGTGTACCAAGATAAGTCTCAGAACCCAGAAGAGACTCAGGAAACGGCCGGCATTCTCAGCACTTGATACAAAATTTATTTTCCTCAACAAAGCAAGAATACAACGTTGAATAAAAGTCGATACATCACTATGTAAACACTAATGTGATAATGTATCCTTAATCTTAGTGCTTTAAAGCTATTTTATATTTATTCATCTAAAAGTAGGTCATTTGAGGTTTTGCCATAAACACTTCATGAAGTTGTCAAGTTTCTATTTCTCAGGAGAAAAGATATCATTCAGGAAGAGCCCTTATGCTCTTCTTTTTTTTAAAAAAAAAATATATTTTATTGATTTTTTACAGAGAGGAAGGGAGAGAGATAGAAACATGGATGAGAGAGAAACATCGATCAGCTGCCTCCTGCAACCCAGGTACACGCCCCTGACCGGAATCAAACCCCGGACCTTTCAGTCCGCAGGCCGACGCTCTACCCACTGAGCCAAACCGGTTTCGGTTATGCTCTTCTTTTGATGCCTGATTAAATGGAATGTTTCCTCAAAAATATGTTGTATCAAGGAATAAACATAAGCATTAAATTCATATTATCCAAACTCATTCATAAAACCCACTCTCCAAAATGTGGGAAAAGGCATGTTTTCAGGGCCTTTCGTTTTCCTGAAAAGTAGTGATGATATGGAGCGCCTATACCATACACTGGAAAGACTGCTACTTAAGAGAAGCCTCTATTAAACATACTGGAGAAGTTGCCCCTAAGAAAACCCTTAGTTTATATTTGTATACATCCATATTATTTGTATCAAATTTGCCCGGCCCCTAAGAAAACCCTTAGTTTATATTTGTATACATCCATATTATTTGTACCAAATTTGCCCGACTTCTGAAGCTGAAGTAATCAAGGAACGGAAAACAGCTGTCTTCCAAGTCAGGTGCGACGGCTCAGTGGACACAGATGTAACTTAAGTGGAACATTAACAATATGCCTAGAAAGATCTATAGGCACTTCTGTATTTTGATCTTGCCTTTAGCGATGCAGGAACTATATAACATAATGCAGCAGGGCTCTGGGAGGGCTTCCTGAGTAGCAAGCTCCGTTCTCTCCTTCAGTAATGAATTCCTTCTTGAAAGAGAAAGATTCTCCTTTGGTCCTATCTCTTCACAGCTTACTTTTCATTCTGCTACACTTCCTAAAATCTATTTTAAAAAATAACCTTTTCCCCCCTCCTATACAATCAAGTTTCTGTACAACTCATTTTCATTCAGTCCCACAGTTCTCCCCCGCAACCCCCCATGAATCCAGAAATCTTTACAAAAACATCTTGTTTCCCTTTAAATAAATATCAAGACTAGGAGAATGACAGTGCAACTTAGTGACCCTAAATTTTATGCCACCAACAGGTATTAAACATGCATAAACTTTTAAAGAGGTGCTAAAATTCGCTAGCAAGGAGAAAAATAATTCAATGAAGGCTTCTTTTTCTTTCTCATTTAATTAATTAATTAATTTTCTTAAAAAAATCTTTATTGTTGAAAGTATTACATAGGGCTTCCTCCCCCCCCCATTAACCCCTTCCAGCCCGCTCCCGCCCCTCCCTCCCCATGAAGGTTCCTGAGTAGCTTTTTATTATTGTTTAAGAATAAGCGAATTTTAACATTATTCACAAGCACAGCACTTATATGCTATAAGAGAAAAGTTCTTTATTGCTTCAGAAATTACTTATACACGTTTACACTCCCTTATCTGAACTTTTGGCCTGATATATTTCAGAATTCAGAACTTTTACTAGAAAGGCGTGTCTGCCACATATTAGGCAACCTTTCCAACAAGGCCTGGAACTGCACTGCGGTCTGCAGGAAACTTATGGCTATTCACACCAAGTGAACATGTATTTATACATAGCCTCAGTCCCCTTCGGGTCAGGTTTCACCAAGGGAGTTAGGAAAGATAAAGGATTAGGACCTTCGATCTGACATGTTAACTTGAACTCTAGTTCTTAATGTTTGATATCTAGTTTAGAGCCATTGTACATTACTATTGTTTCTTACTAGAAAGGCGTGTCTGCCACATATTAGGCAACCTCTCCAACAAGGGCTGGAACTGCACTGCGGTGTGCAGGAAACTTATGGCTATTCACACCAAGTGAATATGTATTTATACATAGCCTCAGTCCCCTTCCGGTCAGGTTTCACCAAGGGAGTTAGGAAAGATAAAGGATTAGGACCTTCGATCTGACATGTTAACTTGAACTCTAGTTCTTAATGTTTGATATCTAGTGAGCCATTGTTGTACATTACTATTGTTTCTTTTTTTAAACAAATATTTTATTGATTTTTTACAGAGAGGAAGGGAGAGGCATAGAGAGTCAGAAACATCGATCAGCTGCTTCCTGCACACCCCCTACTGGGGATGTGCCTGCAACCAGAATTGAACCTGGGACCCTTCAGTACGCAGGCCGACGCTCTATCCTCTGAGTCAAACCGGTCAGGGCTCACAACAAATACACAGTGTATTTAAAATGAAACAGTCTATTTTATTTCAGGATGTAAATGTAAAATAGATTAACCTGTGAAACTAAGTTAACTACATTATGATCTTCCTCTAGAACTTGCCTAGTTCCACTCTGGTTAAAAAACTCCATTTTTTGGCGCGATCGTACATGATTCCAAGCTTGCAGTGCGAGCATCCCTGGGGCTCCCGGGACCTTCGGCACCGTGCAGACCCGTGGAAGGGCCGGGAGGCGGGGATGGGCTGCAGCACGCCCAGCGGGGCGAACTCCCGCCTCCGTGGGTGAAGGTAAGAGAGGCAGGTAGGGACGCGTGGTGGTTCCCGCACAGGGTGAACAATGAGATTCCTTTAGAAGGCGTTGGCATCACTTCTTGCTGTTGGGGTGGCGGAAAAAGTCGCTCTGGGAGGGGGAGGAGCGGCTGGTAAACCCGAGATGTGGCTGCAAGCGGAAGGGAAACGGGGCACCGAGCCTTGAGCAAGTTGGGTAGGAATGGGTCAGGGCCATCGTGTCCCGCGCCGGT